TCTTTCTCCTTTATAAAAGGGACATATTATTCTCTGACAACCATCTAATTTAGACGTGCAACAATAATCAATCCAAATAACTCAAACAGTGAATCATCATACATCATACGACCTACAGCTAGGTTTATAGCTTGGTCATGGGCAACTCTCTATAGCTTGTAAGTAGTCACAAAGTCTAAAAACTAAGCTATGATACCAACGGTTAGGGACAACGGATCTTCATATGAGTATGATATTGTCTACTTTATATTCTTATTTCTTTGCTTTTGGTTCCCCATTTTAAAAAAGGTTATCTTGACTTCATTTACATTTTAGTGCCGATGCCAATATTGCAGAGACTCGTGTACCTTGGCTTTTTATCCATTTATGTGTACTTCTATGTTAACTTTATAGAAGAGCTTCATGTTCTTTTGTGTTGATTAAATTGGGGAGGTCAACCACTTCCCTTATTTCCCTGAGATTACACAAATATCCTTCGACACTCCCTTCAAGCTAAATATCCTTCAACACTCCGCCTAAGTTGAGTAATAGATATATTTTTCTCAACCTAAGGGGGATTGACAATGAATGATATCTATTAGTAACTTGAAGGAGAGTGTCGAAGGATATTTGTGTGATCTCCAAAAGTAGTTGGTCTGCTTAATGTATCTGATTGGATTTATTTAGATTTAGTTACCTAATATTTTGTGATTATTATTTAGATTCATTGTTACCTAGTATCTAGGGTATTTAGATTATCTAATAATTTAGATTTATTTATCTTTCTCCTTTATAAAAGGGACATATTATTCTCTGACAACCATCTAATTTAGACGTGCAACAATAATCAATCCAAATAACTCAAACAGTGAATCATCATACATCATACGACCTACAGCTAGGTTTATAGCTTGGTCATGGGCAACTCTCTATAGCTTGTAAGTAGTCACAAAGTCTAAAAACTAAGCTATGATACCAACGGTTAGGGACAACGGATCTTCATATGAGTATGATATTGTCTACTTTATATTCTTATTTCTTTGCTTTTGGTTCCCCATTTTAAAAAAGGTTATCTTGACTTCATTTACATTTTAGTGCCGATGCCAATATTGCAGAGACTCGTGTACCTTGGCTTTTTATCCATTTATGTGTACTTCTATGTTAACTTTATAGAAGAGCTTCATGTTCTTTTGTGTTGATTTACTTGAAGTTGTGGCATATTTGTGTTTCAGCTCTTGGATTCCTTCTATTTCCTCCCAAGTCAACGGGAGATTTTATTTAAGTTCCAAGTCTTCGGACCCTCTCTATAAAATTATTGCTTATCTATGCCAATTGTATCTTAGGCACTTTTTTTTTAAGATACAGAAAGAGAGAAATAGATGGATTTTAAGGATAGGGATGGTGTGGGTTAAGTAGGAATTAGAAGTACCTACATATCGACTACCTGTCATGCACATACATTTCATTTTATGCCAAGTGTCTCTGTCAGACATAGATACGTCTGGACACACTCAGCACATGTCGACATACTATTTTACGTGTCTTATATACATAAGTATATTATATACATCCAATAATTTAAATTAAATGAGAGTAAATTGACTTTAACTAACTTGACTTTTTATGCATTTTAGTGGAGTATATTTACTCTTTCTATTCGCTCATTTGTTGATTTGTAATCTCTTTTTTCCCTTCCAATGAATAACAGATGAAAATAGACTTCTTCCTTACAAATCCATGATGTTAGCATTTTTTTTTTCATTTTTAATGGATTTATACAAACCTAAAGCTATAAAAAGCAGAAAAGGAACTAACAGACTGTATTTCAGGAATTTTCACCAGAATCCCATGGACGAATGACTACAATGGGTGCTTATGTGCGTGATTTGCTCCTTGGACAGGTCAGGTTATATACCAACATTTCCCTTCAAATATCATGTTGTTGGGTTATATTTTTCTTGTTTCTTTTTTAACGTCTTTGCCTCAAAAACTTGATAAATTGTGTGTATATGTACAGTTGGTTTGTGAATCTTGTGACAACCTGCTGTTGACATTGCTCTATTATCTAACCATGGAATGAAAATTTTTTGTTGTTTTTGGGAACTGATATCCTGTATAAGCTCTGTGCACATTGCAGATCCCGGAGGTTACTCTGTCGGGTTGGAAGATTAAGAATTATATATATATATATACAGTATAATAGAGTCGAAGACTCTCACTAAGAGAAGAGGAGGTGCAAAAAAGATCAGGAAAAGAAGAACTACAGGATAACGTAACCTCCTCCCTCCCCCTTTCAACTTATTAGGAGATTCTTTTTGTCCATTAAAACATCTCGTATATTATCGGTTTATCATGGTGACTCGATGCCATGTTCTCTGTTTTAGAAGGTACTTCTTAGCTTTGAAGGCATGCACGTGCAATGTGCCTTGGGTGTCTTGTTCAGTCAGTAGTATGGTCCATTTTTTTGTTTATTTTTTCTGATGTTTCCAGTATCCTATCAACTTCCATTCTAGACTTTTCTTTTAGGTAGATTTGAGGGGACCTTTGACCTAAAGTATCGGTTGTGTTACCTTTTACCTGTCAAAAGAGATACCTATTAGAGCTGCCCCTTCATGAACTTTCATAACTATTCATTCTTGTCACATTATTTCAAGGAATGTTCTTGAAATAATTGAATAAATTCGTTGTTTGGATTTAATTGTTTCTGTTATAGTGGTGAAAAGAGATGAATCAAGTGTATAAGATGGATAGAATGCGTGTAATTAGTGACTTCACTAAATTTGATGATTGCGGAGAGGAATGGAGACTAAATTTGGAGGTGGAAGTGATTTAAATCATATGAAGAACACTCTCTCTGTTCACAACGATTGGAGACTAGAGGGAACAAACTAAAATGGTTTGTGTATTGATGCTTTATCAGTACAAAGCTGATTAGATCTTGATATCATATCTATATATAGGTTTGCATTTGGCTAGAGAGGATTTCACTTTTGGTTGGCAGTCTTTGTGTTTCAAATGTTCTATATTGGTATTAAGTGATTGTATTGTGTTAGCCATTGAATCCTTGTATCTGTAGTTTGAAAATACTCTCATTTTGTTTTCCCATTGCAGTATTACTTCGATACCCTTTTCCCTCGTATTCCAGTTTCTGTCTTGCGGCAAGTTGCAGCTAATCTCGAAAAGTTGAAGCTTCCCAGCAAACATTCTGGTGTGACAGGGGAAACCCATCGAATAGGGTCTGAAGATACCGCACGGCGGCCACCTTCTGTAAAAGCGTCGCTTTCAGTTTCCTTTGGACAACGAGCCCCACATCGTGCCTCAACTAGGGACTCATCCCCAGTTCGTTGTACACTACCACCATCAGTTAGTGACAGAGATAACAGGGATGATCTACAAAGATCTCCAAGCAGTCGCCATCCTGATAACGGGGAGAGGAGCAGGGATAGAGATCATGACAGGGAGAGGAGCTCGGATAGAGATCACGGTAGGAAGAGGAGCAGGGATAGAGATCACAACAGGGATAGTAGGAGAAAGGATAGGGACAGAGATCGTGATCGAGACAGAGAGAGGTATAGAAATCGGGAGAGGGATCGAGATAGAGATGGAGAAAGAGAGAAAGGTAGGGGTAGAGATATGGAGAGGGAGCGAGACAGAGACAGAGACAGAGAACGAAGTTATGATTATGATCGGAGGACTCATTATGCTGATAGTAGAAGGGACTACAAAAGGAGTAGTCGTGATAGTGTCGCCCAGCATTACCAAAGGAGTTTTAGCCGAAGTAGGAGCAGGAGCAGAAGTCAAAGTTTACAAACAGGGAATGATGGCTACCACAAGCGAGAGGCAAGCCCTGTAAGAGGTGGGACTACAGAGAAGACGTCTATGAACCTGGCAAAACTCAAAGATATTTATGGCGATGTGAGGGAGGAGAAAGGGGATTTGAGCAAAGAAAGGTTTGATAATAGAAGGGATAGCAGTGGTGAAGAGGTGATTAGATTGGGAGGTTCCTGGAAATAGTGAGTGATGATATGCTATAATACAACAAGTCCACTACTGTGTTCAATACAATGTTTATCTTTTATTTAGAAAACAGATTCCAGATTCTAGTTTCTATTGGAAATGGGAAGAACAATCATCTCTCCCAAATCCCGGACTTGGGCTAAATGTAATACAACCATGTGGTGGTTGTGTATAAGATCTTTCACCAAACATTCTTTGAGGGTGTGATTTTGATGCAATTTATAACAGCCCACCACTCTCTCTCTATAGTAAACATGTTTTAAACATGTTTTAAAATCGTGAGGCTGATGGGGATATGTATCGGGTCAAAGCAGACAATATCTATTCATGGTGAGCTTAGGTTAGAAATATCAAATCATGGTGAGCTTGGACTGTTATATACTAGCTTTATGTTGGAAGGACAAGGGAAGAGTGATACTAGTGACTAATCACTTTGTTTTGAAGTTTTTTGTCTGAAAAATTATAGACGAACACGACTCTCCACAATGGTATGATATTGTCCACTTTGAATATAAGCTCTTATGACTATGCTTTGGGCTTACCAAAATACTTTATACCAATGTAGAGAATATTCTTTCGTTTATAAACCCATGATCTTTGAATATAAGCTCTCATTACTTAGTTTTGGACTTCCCCAAAAGGTCTCATATCAATGGAGAGAGTATTATTTATTTATAAACTCATGATCATTCCCTAAATCAGTCGATGTGAGACTTTCATCATCAAACACATTTACATTATTAAGTAGGGCAAATTACAAATTTAATGTCAAATTTGGATAAAATTTGATGACCTTTGGGCAAAATTATTCCCACAAAAATGGTGAAATTGTCGATGGGAAGAGTAAAAATTAAGAATATATGATATTCCTAATTTTCAGATTTTTTTTTTTATTATTTGTATTTTTGAAGAGTAAGAATATATGTTTAAAATTCAGGGATAAAAAATAAAATTTAAATTATTTTAAAGTTTTTAAGGGTACCACAGGAAAATCAAAACAAATATTAAAACAAAAAGACCCACATACCTGATCCATTATAGGCAGGTATAGTTCATTTCTCATCATAAAAATTAACCTCAAAACAAAGAACGACAAGTTTGTCCTTAAAACAGAAAACAGGAGCTATGCTGAATAGAATCAACACAAGCTTCAACCATATGAAAAATACACACACTTTAAAAAAAAAAAAAAAAAAAAAAAA